ACTGGAATCGGCAATACAGAATGAGATCACAGAAAAAGAATAGTAGTCATTGAAACTGATAGGGAGTTTAGAACTAAAGTGCCTCTGTACAGGAGGTGATGATATACAAGAACTAAAATTGCTGAAGTATATTTTTGTTCTTGTTTTACTGAAGACAGTAGTCCTCAATATATCATCAGTGTACTGTGATACTGCAAAGAAGCAGCTTTTCCAACAATCTGGCAAGGAAGTAACGATAACAGGATCTTATGTTAGTTCAAATTAACCTAAACTTTAGCCTCAGGCTGGGCACTAACACTGACAACAAGGCAGCATTGGCACTGACCAAATAAGGTACGTCACTTATGCCTACTCACATGAAACCACCCATACAAATGGCTTACAATGCTTCATTACAATTTATAATGAGGACTCAGAAATAACACACACTTTTGTCATTAGTTGACAGGATGTTTAAAGGTCATGGTCGATGTGAACCAGGAATTCCTGACCATTTTACTTTCTCCAAAAGCTCCAGATAGACTCTCTTTCATACTTAACAATCTTTATTAGATAAACTTTGCCATGAACTAGACCCCAGCACCTAAATAAGGAAAGGTTAATTATTTTGCTCCACCAGATGTTCCCATGTGCATATAAAGAACTGAAGGCCCCATAATTTGAACACTAAACACAACTCCAGCGCAAGTCACTGTCTAATTGTAAAAAGACAACTAGAATTTTTTCTCTTTAACAGAGCTCGACAACCTTTGGAAGGGTAGGATACAATAGTTAAGTAATGGTAACTTTGTCAGCCTGGCTAAGTGGTAGAACTCTCACCTCCGAATAAGGAAGTTTCAAGCCCTACATCAAGACTTGATGTATAAGCTGACACTCTGTCCCACAGTCTAAGCCTATACTTTGTGGCAGTGCTGGGTGTCGGGTTGCATTATCAGAGGAGTTGTCCTTCGGATGACATGTTAAACCAAAGTCCTGTCAGCCTGTTCAGGTGGACGTTCAAGATCCCATGGCACTATTTGAAAATAGAAGGGAGTTTCTTCTGGTATTCTGGCCAACAATCCCCCAAATAAAATTCATCACTCACTCCATGGCTGTTTATGGGACATTGCTGAGTTCAAATTGGCTAGTATGTTTTGCCCACAAAATACACAGTCAAACTACTTTTTAGGGTATCCTGTGAAGAGCTTGGAGACATCGCAACAACATAATAAAGCACTATATATTTGCATTTGATATAGTGCCTTATCACTTCTTCGAGGCATCTCAAAGCACTTCACAGAATATGCTGTACAGTGAATTGACTTTATATTTTGTGAAGAAAATTCTTATATCAAATATAAAGATTATTACTTTTCAGTAACAATGGATAAACAGAGCTTTTACACTTTATTTTTCTTTACTTCTCTACAAAAAGTACTTTCTCATTCTAAGGTAGGACACATCTCGCAACTCAAGTGACCATTCCTTACGTACGAGTCTGGGTAGTGAGTATTGATGGGCTATTCAATCACAGGGTTAATACAGCTTAGCTTGATCCTGTCCTCACCTGACGTTCATGGTCCTGCATGTTTCACCAGATAGTCACTGGATAGTGATTGAGAACAGTATTCCTGGAGGCATTGAGGAAAATTGTAGCACATCCCTCCCCCCACCACCAGTACATGTCAGGAAATTTGGCACTGATTGGAATTCAATCCCCAGGAACATTTGACATAAATCAGCACATTAAGGAAAGGAAAAGTTTGAAATTGGAGGGAGAAGAAAAAACCATTTCAATTTTAAAAAGGCAAATAAATTGATAATGAGGTGCACATTAGATGGGCTTACCATAGCCCACACTGAAATCGGACTCCTGCAAAGGGACTTCAGATGGTGCTTTCTGAGTGTGCATTGTATAGTGCAGAGCTGGTCCCCAGAGGTCAGTGAGGTAAGGCGACAAAAATACACAACAAAGTAACTAAACCATCTTTCTATCAGTTTTGTAAAAGCATTCATTTCATTTTACAGAATTCTGTTATTTCCCCATTTATACAGAAAATCCATTTTAGTTTGATTATAGATCCCAATTCTCCCAGCCATTTGGGAATGAATACTGTATAAGGACCTAAACGATTCCAACCCATCACCCAACCACCAATCCCTCACATTGTGACACCAATATATCATTCAGTTGACTTGTCCGGCAAAATAGTATTGTTCAGATGTTTGGACATTGTTGACATGGAGGTTGTCAACTGCCAACTTGAGCTCTTGAACCAGAAGTAACTCAGTTTTATAAATGCTTTTTTTTAGACACAACTTTACCTAGTTGCATAATGCTGGCTCAGGCATTGTGCAACTGAACTTCCATAGGAAGTGAATCCTCTAGATAGGAGTTTTTTTTAAAAGAAAACTCAATTTCTCCATTAGAAACAGTGTCAGAAAGCATCAGGCAACAAGGACTGACAAGTACGTGTGTTATGGGGTTTAGCACTTGAGGGATTGCTTTGGCACAAGGCAAACAATGTGAAACGGATCTTGGTATAATAAAAATCTGGATAAACATGCATTTTCACCATTACATTTTGGGCATAAGGCTTTTTTTTGGTAACATGCTATGATTTTCTTGGCGTTTACAGCAGGTCACATTCAAGGTAAAGACAGTCTTAGAAACAGGAATGACTAAAGCAATCAATACAGTGGTTTACTGCCAAATTGTAACTCCCACTTATTTTATCTGCAATGATTTGGGAGGCTCCAGATGGTCAGAAAGCCTTCAAAAGGGAGTAAGTTATTACTTCATAATTTTGCTAAAAAAATTACCATTCGCGAAACTTTACGTTTGCAGTCATGATCAGAAAATAAACCGTTGAAATGGTCACATATCTGACAAACCTGAAGACTGTGTAGAAAGTGGAGGTTTGACAGACCATTTTCACTCCCCCTGAATGACTATTCTTTATGATTCCTATGATCTCCTTTATCATGAGGGAAAATAAAATATATACAGTATTTATAAAAGCTCTCAGTACGTGTCTATTTTACTTCTAGCTCACTTGATAGCACTATCGCCTCTAACTCAGAGGGTTGTGTGGACATCCATTGTGGCAGCTTCTGAAGGTTCAGGAAAGCAAGTAACTGCATTTATATTGCGCATTGCACTGGAATGTTAACACTAAACCTGGTTGTGGGGTTTGCACCCTGCTGGTCAGGCAAGGTTGTTGCACTTTCTCCTTTAAAACATCTTTCTGTTCAGTTGTGAAGTCCAAGAAAGGTACTTGTTGAGAACTTGGAGGCTGTCATGGATAAAGTGACTTGTCATTGTCACCTTCTGCCGGCTCTGGGTTTAGGTCATCAAGTAGATGATGAAGTTTAGGATCTTGCTGTGGGCAGGTGGCCAGTTTTGCTAAATCTGGCAAAGGCTGATAATAATAATAATAATAATAATAATAATCCTTGCATTTGATATAGCGCTTTTCACGTCGGGAGGACGTCCCAAAGCGCTTCACAGAACACACTGTAAAGTGAATTGACTGTATATTTGTGGGCGAACGTGGCAGCCAATTGCGCACAGCAATGTCCCACAAACAGTCGTAGATTGAAAATGACCAATTTATTATTGGTTTTGGTTTTGGAGGGATTATTATTAGGCGTGTGGAGTAAGGAAACTTGCCCAAGGTTTCGCCCTCTGCCTGGAATTGAACTCAGGTCTCTCACTTGCAAAGCGAGTGCTCTAACCACTGAGCTACAGGACTGATATGGTTGTTCAGTGGTAAGGTACTTATTAAAACATCATATTTATTTTTTGTTGCTATTCACTAATTTTGATCTAGCCCAAAATAAAGTTGTTCTCTCTCTTTCTATTCTCCCCAACTCCCATGAGCATTAAGGCATTGGTGCTGATTCAAAACAGGGCAGCAACATTACTATCCAGTGGAAAATCCACGTTAAAAAGTGGCCAACTATTTCTGCCTGTAGTCAATTTATGATAACGTCAGCATATTCTGTTCCCCACTGGGAAACGGGGCAAAGATCAGTTCTCGCATATGTAGCATGAGCAAATCGTTTCATATTTAAAAGTTGTGATGATATCCCATTTCAAATAAGAGCAGAAAATGTTACAAAGTTTCACTGAGACACTGCATCTTGAATCTGCAGCATTTTTTAAAGAGGATAATTTGTTTTTAAGAGTAGATTATCTCAGTAAGGAGGAATTGCTACCTTGGAAAGGGTTGAACAACAGGACATCTCTTCACACAATTCTATGTAAGCTCCTGTTCAAGGACGTCACCTCATGCAACATATCGGGAAATGAATAAGCAGCATGTACAAATCAATTAAAAACCAGTGTTATAAACCACAACAATATTGGCCAAGCAGTTTGTGTATGTTAACCAAACCCTCAGATAAAGTTACAGCCTTTAACTCCCTCCAACATTTTTAAAATACAATCTATACCACATGCACTCCCCCCATCATTTCAGTAAAATACTGCTCCCATTTCATGCCGATGCGTCACTCATAACTCGGAACAGATGTTGCTGTGAATAGTTTGTTTCTATTAAAAATTAAAATTCCAATTAAATTTTATTTGATCCTTTTGCACTCCGATTTTCTCCCCTCCTCTCTCCTAAAGGCATGTTAACTCACTTGCATCCCCACAACTCATGGTGTATCCTCTACATAAGCACAGTTAGTTTTGATAATTCATGAAGCTGTAACTTCCTGAAAAATCACAAGGAATCAGAGCTGGCTTAGATCTCCGAGTAGCACATGTGATTTGTACGTTACAAGCTTTTACCACTTCCCCCCACCCCCCTCCCTCATCCTATGTCCAATAATTGTGTGACTGATGGGAATACATTACAAGACTATTTTGCAGTGAGGCACACAGTTCAGCATCTTGTGTATGTTGTAGTGGTGATCACACGACCCAGACCAGCATGACTCTCAATACCACGTCTGTTCGAGACTCCCCGAATGCTGGCTATGTTACACATTCCATGCTCTGAGACTCTTACTCAAATCATGATCACAAATCAGCACTTGACCTGGCCTGCGTTCATTTTTGAGGCCCCTCGGAGTAGGTTGGAGATCCCTCAAGCTCTCTGCAGTGGCAGATAAATTCAATTCATTTCAGCAGCAGTAATTGAGAGGCAACTGGTCACGTGGACAGTTCAAATCCAATTTTGGTTATGTAAAGTGACCACTGTACAGCTAATTGGGCTCCACACACGAGACTTGGACAAGTCTGTTTTTCCCCAGTGAGCACATTTCAGGATACACTGTACAGCTTGTCCTGGAACGTGCTACATGACCCATGGCAGTTCAGTAGGGACTTTTTTTTTCTTCATGACCATGAATGGTCTGATTCCCTTTCTGAACAACCAGCTACAATTTTAACACTGTTAAATGTCTGAAATGATGTGCTGTGTTGTCAGGGTCACAGTGGTTTCACGTGATCTGTACCAGGGGCTCACAAGAAAGCCCAACTGGGAATTATTTATGTAACTGAGATGTCATCACATATACCTTACAGGTGTCCTTATTGCTGATTAAATCTACAGGACATTGAACTCTTAGACTTGCTCCACAGTGCTGGATCTAAAATTAGCAATGCAGATTGGAAAGTAATTTCATGTTGTGGGATGTAAAGGAAGTACTCCACCTATAGAATTCTTTAAGTTATTTCTTTGTAAAGAAATAACTGTAAAGATTACCAAGGAGCAGATGCTGGGATTTAACACACGCGCCCACCACACAGGGCATTTAACATATACACACATACAGGGCATTTAACACACACACACCACAGGGCATTTAACACACACACACACACACACACACACACCATGCAGGGCATTTAACACACACATACCACACAAGACATTTAACACATATAATTAATACACATTTGTGTTGTTGGCATTTCCCATCCCCAGCGTACTCAGTAACATTAACTGGACTGGACTTAAGAAATAAAACACATGCTTTCCAGGTGCTGAACAAGAATTTAATGGTGCTCATTTTTAAAAATTATGTTTAAGTTAATATTATTCCTTTCTGAAATACATAAGTGTAAATTTTTATGTGGGTCTAAGATGTCTGGTTCCTGAGCCAGGCAGGTCCGCAGTATTCAAAAGCGCTGAGGATGGCAGACCAGCCAGCACAACTATTCAGCAGCACTCGAAGGGGCAGGGATTCTTCTCATTCAAGTCCCATTAGGCCACAAAGCTGTAACCCGTAGAGGGTAGGGTGGTCCTAGCTGGACAAGCAATGGGAAGCCATGCACAAGCTGCCAGCACCATGTAACTGACATTGCACGGCTTATGACTGTGACCCACAATGTTGCTCCTTTTGTAGGCATTTAACTTCAGTACTGCGATTCCATCACATGCAATGCCAATAACAGCTGGCTTCACTGCTGGATTAAGAACACCACACTGAACTTTTAGCATGGGGTCATTTTAATTCAAGCCTCTGATTATGAAACAGTTTACGTTATCCCCTTTTCTAAACAACCTGCTCGGCAGTTTCAGGTCAATTTCATGCTTTTGAAATCAATCAGCTGGTGCTTTCTGCACACTTGGGTTGATGCATAAAGCAGCAGATAAAGCAAATAGATCACTGCAGTAAAAAGTTATGTATCTTTATTTTTTGCTACACAGGAATAGCACATTGCCCTCTTTAAATGCAACCTTTCCCAACTTTCAAATACCACTGTACTCTGTGCTTGCAGTTTGTGTTTTAAGGTGAGTGGGATATTTTCTCCTACTATGGCTCCAGAAATGAGTATTCAGCTGAAAGTAGGCTTTGTGTTCAAAAGGATTGCTAAGGACTTCACCATGCTGAAAAGTATGTTACCTGTTATGCGTGAGGTAGGCAGGGCTTTTGAAGCAATTTATAATTTGAGAGTCGACAGTAATTAACATGATTTGTAAAATATAGAAATAAGGAAATAAGAAATAATACTGTATTTCTAACTCTTTAGGAACTCAGCCTTCCCAACTCTTCCCTCCACAAGCTACTTTCTCGCGGCTGTGTCTTCAGCCACCCTCCCATCCCTCTACCCTCCCTGATCACAATCCTCCAGCGCCCCCATCCTGCTCGGGTCCTAATCCAACTGTTCAGTGCCTTGAGACATCCTCCTGACATAAAAGGCGCTTTACGAATGTAATTTTGTATTGTATTTTTGTATTGTATTTAACGGGTAAGAGGGATCACTTTTGTTATTTAGGGGAAATGTATGCAAAGGGAGGGTGCGATAATTAGTTTGTTAGCAATCGAGGCAATACAAGAACTTGCACTTACTTACATCACACCTTTTGGGTAGTTAAAGGGCTTCACAGACATGAAGTGAGAGCCTGAGCAGGGTGGTAGAGAGGATAGGAGGGAAATAACCAAAGGCACAATCAAAGAGATTGATTTTCAGAAGGGTTTTGAAAGTAGACAGGGAGAAGGGATTTAGGCAGATTGTTTCAGAGAAATGCAAGAATATAAGTGGTAGTTCTTGGCGAGATTTGTGAGCGAAGAAGAAATCAGAGCCTGCAAGTTGGAAATATTTGCCCAAATTCCCCCTTAAACCAAAGCAGAAACTGCTCATGTAAGGCATTTTCCTACTGGTGAGAAGAAACCGAAAAAAGACACTAATGCCAACAATGATACATTTTTGCTGGATTTTGACCGTGGTTTACATTTCAGGAAAGAGGACAGAAAGGATTCATCCTTACAAAAACCTTCAGCGGCTGAAGGACAGGTTCAGTTTGTGCAGAGAGACCAGAACCCTGATATGCATTTACAATCTAGACAGACAAGTTCAATTCCCACAACGCTAGGTCATTTTTTTGTGGTAAAAAAAATCAGACATTGTGCATTGAAGTGGAAAAGCAATTTCAAACATAGCATATTTCCAAATCAGTAAGTGATTGAAATTGTTTTTCACGCCAAAGTGAAATATGCGATTTGGGGGAGGATGTGAAAATGATGGAGCGTTTAGGTTAACCACTTTGGTGCTCAGGTTAGTACAGCTTTGTTCATTAAACCCAAGTCAGGGTTGCATTTGCCTCACAGCTTAATTATACCATTACCAAATACTGTGCAACATGCACTTCTAAATCAGCAAAGCTGTTTTACTCTCTGGTGGTCCTAAGGGAACTGCAATAGTTGGCAGATGCTGCATGACTGGGAGGGGGAAAGATGCATTCATTTGTGAACTCCAGCAATGAAGGTAGACGGGTTTTCATATTGTGGCAAGATTCAGGGTCACACAGAACCAAACGTACACAGGCAGTTTCCCTAAATAGAGAAGAAGGTGGCCCCAGCACGTCTGTCAATACACAACTATTTAGAGACCCCAGGGTGACAGACATCTTGCATTGCACTCCCACACCCCATTCTCTGCCTCTTTCCAAATGTGGTTCCACCTAGTTCATGCCAACCACATGCACTCCTTGCACTCACCAGCCAAGTTTCCACTGGCGCAAGTTTCCAAGGGCTTCACTGTACTGTCGTCTAGAGCAGAGAGAGCTTCCTGGGGTCTCGGTCACCCCTTTTATATGTCACAGGTCTACTCCCTCTCTGGTATAATCCCAAGACCCACCCTACCTGCCTTCCACACTGCCAGTTCTCAGACTTTACAGTACCTTACAATATGTTTGGCACAGTCTTGAGGAATGTACCAACTACTTTACAATCAGCATCCAGCTCTATCAATAATGTTTTCCAAATCCTGCAACCTCAAACTTCACCACAACTCTGGATGAAACCGAGCATTTATGCAGATTTGCATTTTGGATTTAGTCTCATTCAGATTTAAAGTAACACAATAGCTACAGGAATGCAAGGGGAAACTTTCCTTGAACACTGAAGGATTGGCTGGCTCACTCCAGTAGCATTTCTCAGATGAGTAACTCACCTCTCAAAACAAATGGAGACCTGGAAAAGACCTAGATTTAAAACGATCACTACAAATTTAAGGTCCCTAAGATGGATGCATTAATCAGCAGAGAACAACACTTATAAACCCTCGGACTCACTATGACAAGGCATTGCCATCTTGCTACAAAATCATGTACATTTTTCCAAACATGGCGTACTTAGTAACATAGGAATCGAAAGGACTTCTGACTCCAAACCCACATGGTGTTACTGAACCAATGATCAAGTGCAGTCAGAATGATTACATACAGATGGTGTCAAGTTAGACAGGATGGCAGGTGTTGCTCACACGATAGAGGGGATGATGTGTGGAACAATCTCAAAGCAGTTCATTCAGTATTGATTACCTCCTTCAGATATATAACTATTTCAAAAATGAACAAGTTCATTATAGACTTGAGAACAGTGTTGAATGTTAAAGGAATAGGTGCAAACTGGAATGAAGAAATGCTCCAAAGAGGCACAGTTGTTTCAGGTTGGCTGGGGCTTTGTTGAAGAATATTGCCTGAGAGGAGAATGTTGTCTGGGTTCAATAGTGGAGATGGAGCAATGAATGAACATTGTTACTTTTGGGGATCAGGAATTAGCTACAGAGTCCTGCAGTTTAGTGATTAGAGCACTTGTCTCACAAGGGAGAAGACCTGGGTTTGATTCCTGGGCAGGGAGAAAAGTTGGGCAAGTTTCTTTACTCCACACATCTCTGTTCACCTGGCAGCAAGTAGGAACCTTGTTGTTAGTCAATTAGTAGATTGTTTTTCCCAGACTAATAATTCATTAAAATTTTTTTTAAAAATGTGGTCACTCAATCCACTACTGTTAGTGGGAGACTGCTGTGTGAAATTCGCTGCTGCGTTTCACTCATAAAATATACAGTCAATTCACTTTACACTTTTATATTCTGTGAAGGTCTTTGAGATGTCTCGAAGATGTTATAAGGTGCTATATCCACTGCAAGGATTATTATTATTATCTATATAGAAAAGAGAATGTGAGAGCAGCAGGCAAGATGGCAATTTTACATGGTGTGTGATTGGAGTGGACTTGATTACTGAATGGAGAACTTTAGCTTAAGTATCGATGGGATTGATAATATGCCATTAAATTGACTGGATCACAGCAATCATTATCTTCATATGCCAAATCTGCATTCCTATAGCGCTTTAACATTCTAAAGC